ATTTTTAAGATTTATCGAACATTTCAGTCAATAAGTCTCGTTCGTATTAAACGAGACGTCTATTCGTAGATCATCCTATTTGTTTAGGATGAAAAAACGACAAAATATCTTTTACTCTTTGAAAAACTGTGCACAAAAACGTCTCTGTACACATTTCTGTCTTTTTGCCGTGCACCTTTCTGTAACCGTGCACAAAAATATCAAAAGATTTTTTAGTGCACGGAAAATAGCAAACCGTGCACAATTTCGGAAAAAACCGTGCACAAAAAACATTTTTCCCGCTGTTTTTGCTAATAGCCAAATATTGTAATTTTCCAGAACTTACACAAACTGCTCGACAAATATAGTTCTTTAAAGCTATTGGAAAAGTGGCATAATCAGGTCTTATTTGCGTCTTTCAAAGACCTCTACAAACTTGTGTCAGACTGAGCCAAGGTCTAGTGAAAGAAATGTATTCTTCATTAGCCTATTTTTTTTAATGTGATGCACGTGAAGCGCATGATTCAGTATCTGCCTTTCTAGAAACGGAGAAAAGTAAGAAACATTTTGTTGATGAAATAAATAAGTAAATATGAAAAAAGTGAGGATAAAGGTGTCAAGCGTTCGTTCTATTTTCATACATATAACAAAAATATCCAGTTTCTTATTCGTTATCCAGAACAAGATTTGTTTAAAAGCAGAATGACATTGGCATCGTTAGTTGTTCTCGCATTTATGGTACAGCATTCCATTGGTAAATCAATAATATCTGAATTTACATTTTATGGCTCAACATTTTGGATGAGAAAAGATAACGATATGCTTATTCTATCACAAAGAGATATTGATAGTCTTGCTGAAGTTCGTGAGACTACTGGATCTATACAATCAATAGAATCGATATCAGATCCCGACATTGCCAATGGTACTGAAAAAATCCGATTTCAAAATGTGAAGACTATAAATTCATCAGATAAATATAGCATGATAATTATCGATGATCTAAGAAATCAACAAAATATTGCGACAGCTGATTTAATGAAAGATGAAGCTATAACAATAAAACCTGGACTCAGAAACTCTGATAATGTTTGGTGTTAATGCCAATGATATAGCATTTACAGTTATATTAATCAATAATGGTCCTGTAGGAACAATTCTAGCTCAAATACTTTTCAGAGCGTGGCCTTAGAAAAGCAGAACGGCTCAGAATGTTCAAGGCAATTATGATTGATTGGATTTAAAAAAAACTGGTTCATAATAGATCAGACTTTCGTTCAATGTCTGGCTTATTTTATCAAACCCAAGTCGAAAAAAATTTGTTAATTCTGATAAGAAATTCACTGGTTCTAGTAAGAGATTTATAAGAATCTTATAAAATATCCATAAGAAATTATAAGAAGTTTTTGAACAGTTTTTTTAATCATTTTTCAACCAAATTTTTGAAAGTAATATGTTTTTCAAGGAGCGCTTCGTGTTCTGATCACCTTGAAATCTTAAGAAAACGTTATTTTTAGGTCCCTCCAGAATGTACTATGAGAAGTTTTATACACGTACAAAACCTATCCGTTTTAGACTTCCGAGAAATGAAAACGTGTTTGTTGGAGCGAAGAAAAAACCTTATTGAAAAATAATATAAATTTAGAATAGGCTTGACAACAGTTTTCCAGTCTCTCATCTTTTGTAGTTTTCTAATGTCTTCGTCTTAGATTCTGAAGGAATGTGGAAATAAGTTTTCTTTATTTACTGATCGTTAGATTTCAAAGAGAATATTGTTTAATCATGTCGTCTTAAAACAATAGGCGTGTTACACAAAAAAGTTGGTCCAGGCTAACTCTTAAAGCACCAAATCACATTCAATGAAACTCGATGCTTAAGGGTTTTTCGTCATTCTCATCCTTTTTTCTCTAGAAAGTTTTCTCCAAGCTGCTCGAAAGTAGGATGTCTGGAAAGCCGTGGTTTTTGCGCTACCTTTGTGAATTGAAATCGGTTTAAAAAAATACACTCGAGAGCTGAAACATTTTTAATAACATATTTGGATTCAGCGTCGCAAAGTAAACATTTTGAAAAAAAATCTAGTCTGTAACCCAAAATTTGAATTTAATTTGAAAATCTTTACTTTTTTTTGAAACTGAAATATCTTAGCTCAGGTAAACGATACAACCTTAGTTCAAAGGTCGTCTGATAGACAAACTGAACAAACACTGGAGTTTGCCAAATTTGCAACGAACGCGTTGTAGCGAGAGATTTTTCCAAAATCATCTTTCAGACTCTTAACCGGAAATTAAAAAGGCCACAGATCCTCGAGATTTCAACATAGAAAATTTTAACCTAGCGCTATGATACGTAGTTTTTATATATTATTCTTTTATTCAAATATTCTTTAAGTAAAAACTACAACCTCCTAAAACTAAAAACTCCTCGATTCGAGATATATTCTACTACATGCCAAAGATAAGAACCAAAAGAAAAAAAAAGAAAAAGAACAACGAAAGAAAGAACAGAGCAAGGCAAAATAAAATACATGCATACGAAGATAATCTGTACATAGTGAAAGAAGGGGTTGTGACAAAGAATCGCCACAAATACTTGATTTAAAATAACAATCAAATCTTCTTTTAATATTGTTAAGTTTAATAACAGGTAAGCATTTTAGAACTGTAGAAATAATAACAGGAGCTATTTTTAAATTCATTATTTAATTTTTCTTTAAAACTAGACGTTTCGAAAATTTAATTTTGACTTTCAAGAAAAACACACATATCAACACTAAAATATAACGTTAGAGTTGAAAACATAAGTTCTGCATAAAGGGTGGCCCAGACGTCCTGACGCGATTTTAGAGGTCTGCGGGACCAAACGTTTTTGGTCCCGGTCCAGCGGTCCCGTAAATATTTTTTCAAAGAAATTTTTTTACTTCATACAAGACTATTTTCAAAAAAGCCTGGTCACGGTGCCATTAAAAGTTCCACGGGATCGGGACAATCCCGCAGACCTCTACTCGATTTGTATAATAATTTTTCTAAAGTAAAACACATATTTGTAAATTTCTCTCTATGATGAAGAGACGCAGTAAAACATTGCAAAAATACCGAGATCGGGTTCATCGTTAGTTTTTCTTTTTTGTGAAGCACATTTCTAAGTCTATAACTTTCTTACTATATGAGCTAGCGGGGTCAATCAAAAGCCATTTTGTAGAGCGTGTTTTACTGCGTCTTTTCATCATAGAGAGAAATTTA